CCCCCCTGCCTCATCTTCCCCTGCCTCAGTTTCCCCCTGGGAAGAAGAGGGAGGGTGGCCCTGCATCCCGGTGGTGTTTGGTCTCACTGGTGGAGCTGGTCTCCCCGTCCTGCCGTTCCCATCAGAGCCTCCCGAGCCCTCAGCCCTCCCCATCCCAACACACAGCCCGCGGGGGATATGAGGTGCTCCCGTGGCGATCAGGCCCCGCGAGAACACCTCTTGCACTCTGTGGCCTTGGCTCCTCGCCCCACATCCCCTTGCCCTCATGAGACTCTTGCCGTGCTGCAAGCCCAGCAGGAGGCATGGGAGCATGAGGGCTGCAGAACATGCTGCCCAGGCGATGGAGGGATGGGGGTCCCGTGCCAGATCCCTGCTGTGAGCAGACACAGAGCAGCTCCCAGCACAACCAGCCGCTGCTGTGGCCTCCGGGAGGAGGGTCCTGCTGGGGCAGCCCTGCAGGCTGGCTTGTGGGGACGCCCTGACCTCTTCTCTTTGAAACTAGTTATTTTGCCCATCATCATGGAGCGACTGGAGAAATTCCCCTTCATGCAGGTAAGCCCACATTTCTCCTTCCACGGTTTTCCAGTGCGTCCTGCATTGTTCCAGCCCCAAGATGCTGGGGATGAAATGGGGAATTGCAGAGCCCAGCTTGCTTTGTCCCCTATTTGAGTCATCAGTATGCCAGAGGTCTCCTGGGTGACACGGAGAGGCTGCGGGAGGGTGGCAGAGGTCGGTGGCACCCCAGAGGTGTTGGGCATTCAGCCCTGTTGAGGGGAGAAGTCTCCCCACACCATGAGCAGGGCTTGCAGTAAGGCCGGGCACTCACTACCGGCTCTTCCCTTGCAGCAGATCCGGGTTCTCCATGGGCCTCTGCAGATGCTGCTGAGCGGGGGCTTGTAAGTATCTCGCTGCTCGAATGCCTGTGGGTGCCTGGAGCGTGGCTCTGAGGGATGCATGGAAAAAGACCTCTTGCCCAGCGGGGGACTGCAAGGCTGCTTGGCTTTCAGCTCGGGCTTTCCCCAGTTATTGGGAGTCATGGGGTGTGAGCAGCTCCTCTTGGGCTGAGATCCCTGCGGCTGGGGGGCAAACGGGCTGCGATCAGCAGCACTAACGCTCGGCTCTTCTCTGTCCTGCAGCCTCCTGTTCATGGTACCGGCAGCCTGCGCCCTGTTCCCGCAGAGATGGTACTTGTCCCACTTCTTCCTTCTCCTGCTCAGGACCTCAGGAGCCTTCCTCCCTCCCTAGCTCTTCTCTGCCTATCCCGGGAGAGACGTGGTGGGCGCCCACCCTTCAGCCCACAGCAGCAACTGCCTGTTCAAGCTGGTGCTCTGGGCAGCAGGAGAGCATGTGCCTCCACTGCTCTACGTGCTCTGTGCTGGGAGCAGTGGGACCCCCAGCCCTATGGGCAGCTCTGCCCGCCAGCACTGGGAGCAGTGGGTGCCAGCGATGGGTGGTGGGTCTTGACGTGAGCCTGCGAGATCGCAGGGACTGCAGGGGACCTCAAACAGCAATTGGGAGGGACGGTGGCCTGACCAGTGGCCAGGGAGGAGGATCGCAGGTCTCAGTGTCTATCCCCTCTCCCCACAGCTCTCTTGCGCTGGCTGACCTCGAGACAGAGCTGCGCGACAGCATCGTCGCCAAGCACGGGGACAAAGTGCCGTACGTCTGTTTTAACAAGGGACTGTGAACGGAGACTACCTCGGGAGCCATCGCACCGCCCCGGCTCCCTGCCACCACCAGCCCTGCGTCCCCCGAGCAGGGCTCAGAGGCACGGTCTGCCAGATCTGCCCCCCGGCCCAGCACCGTCTCTGCTGCCTCCTTCCCCCGTCCCTGCCTCCCCACGTCCCTCAGGCCCTGGGCGATGGCTGCGCTTCCCGTGCCTTCCTTCTGCCCTGCGGGAGGAGCTGCCCAGCCTGTCTGAGCCTCACCCTGACGGTCGCACGTCAGGCTCTCTCCCTCGGGGCTCAGAGCACAGTCCTACCTCTGAAAGCTGGTGCCCTGCCATCATACCAGGAACCAAACCACGCTGCTGCCTTAAACCACCACAGTGGCCTCTTACCAGGAGCTGGATCCCGCCTTAGCAGGCAGGAAGGGACCTGTCCCCTCTGCACAGGGAGCACCCCAGGGTCCAGGGACCAATGCTTGAACCATCCCTTCCTTGCTCTCAGGTTCAGGTTTTATTCACTTGGCGATTGCAACAATCCAGGAGAGAAACAGCTAATTGTTTTTAAGCTCTAATTTTTGCAATCTACCCATTCCTCTGAGCACGAGAGCCAGCCTTTTTGTGCATCTCACTGTCCCCATGGTAGGACCAAAGACCTGCAGCTCTGGGGGACAGCTGACTCTGGGCCCCTTTGGACAGGGGGAAGGAAACACAAGAGTCACAAAGCTGTTGAGGCATTAACTCAGGCTCTGAACAGCAGCACTGCAAACGACAGGAGGGTTGAAAAATAAAATGTGGTGATTTTTAAAAAACAGCTGTGGATTCTGCTTTTAGCTGGTCTCTGCGTGTCTGTGTCCCTGGGCAGGGTGGCGTGTGGGTCTCATGCCTGCTTTGAAAGGGAAAGGTGTGGGCTCTGTGACTGACCAGGCACCAGGGTGAGGGTCAGCACAGGGGCCGGGGGGAGAGGAAGAACCATGAGACTGCAAGGGCTGGCATAAACCCTGAAACCCTTGGGCAGCCCCCCACAGCTTTCCCCGAGAGGCCCTTGGGGCTGCAGATAGTCCTGAGACAGTGCTGTGCTGATGGTGACCTTCATCCCATCAGGGAGATGGGGGGATGACACTTTGTGGCCCTTCCTACACCCATGGGTGCTGTTTGTCTGCTTGGCCAGACAGTGTTTGCATGATGCTGACCTGGGTCTTGCATGAGGCCTCTCCCACCCCAAAGAAGAGTGGCTGGAGCTTGCTGCAGCCTATTATGGGAGGAGGAAGGAGCCCCAGAGTTTAGCCCGACTCCTGGGCTAGAGCCCCTGCCCTCAACCAGCTGTGTCCAGGCTCTCTGCTTGCTGACGGACATCCCTCGGTGGGACAAGCATGTTTCTAACCAGCTGTACGATGTGGCTGCTCCCAGACCGCCATGGCTCAGCGGATGGTCCACGCTCGTTCCTCCAGCCAGGGATACATGTCAGATCCCCGGGAGCAGCATCCCCGCATCAGACGCATGCCCGAACGGAGACCCAGGGTCTGCAGCCAAAGGGCTTTCTGGCATTAACGGCTCTGCTCCTACAGAGAGCAGCCAAACCCAAAATGTATTTCTTGAAGGGCCGAGGTGTATCCACAGCAGGTTTGCTTCTGCCCAAGCTGCAACAGGCAGAGGATGATGTCTCCAGCCACATGTAGCTGCAGCTAGAAAGCTGCACAAGAGCTCTGGAATAATTAATAGGTCAGTGGAAAGTAGGAAAATGTGTTCAAACTTGTGTATCTGCTCCCTGGGCGTTATTAGATCTCTTGTTCATGTGGAATTAAAATAATAGATAAGCACATGAAATGAAACATGTCACTCCTGTGGGAGTGGGAAGAAGCCACAAGGAGACATCTCTGCACTCTGCTTTTCTTAAGCTCCTTAACTCAAGCTGCTCTGACCCTACACCCAAAACTGCTTTGAGCACTTTCAGAAAGGCACCTGCATATTTGGGTCCAAGGTGCCTCTGGCATGCTCAGGATCATGGTGATGCCTGTAACACGATGTGCCACAGCATCCTGAAACTGCTCTTCCCCTGCGCGTTGCAGCCACGCTCTTGCTGTTGACCCTTCCTGCATTTGCAGTGCGTGAGGGTCCCAGCAGGGCTGGGGGCTCTGTGCCAGCGACGCCAGGGCAGCAGCCACCTAAAGCCAAGGTTGGGACCATGGTGGGAAAGCCTCAGCAGTGTTGTCACTCCTTTTTTCCTGTCCCCAGCCATACCGGAGGGATGATGGAGCACGGGGAGCCACCAAAGAGCCTTTGCCATCTCGTGCCAGCTCCCCCCCTGCCCTGGGAAGCAACACATGGTGCCGCTCGTTGCTCTTGGCCAGAGGAAGAGAACGGCTCCAGGCTTGGAGGAGGGGCAAGCCATCCTCAAGCCAGACCTCCCCCCCAAGCTTACAGCAGTGGATTCCCTCTTCAGATCAACATGGATTTACGCCAGCTGACAGTTTAGCTCAGCAGGGTTTCTAGGTTTCTAGGTTGTCGTTGGAATCTTCCCCGGAGGATTCAAGTCATCTCAACAGCTCATGTCACTTCGGTGTCGGGAGATGATTGCTGCAGCCAGTGCCTGCCTGCACTTCTCAAAACCACAGCAACTCCCCAGCCTGCCTTTGTCTCACTGGGGGTCAGAGGGGTTGCAGCCAGGCTGCATCCAGCAAGTCCCAGTGCTGCCAAGGGTGGCTCCGGCCAGCCCTGCCTCCTCCATTTCCCATTGCTGCAACAGGAAGGAAACTTCACTGCCAGGAGTCAGAGCCGGACTCACCCCTGTCTGGGAAGAGCTGCAACTGTTAATTGCTCTCCAGCAATGAGTCGCACCCGATCTGGGCTTGTCCAGTGCTCCGGTGCACTCGCTGCCTTCTCCCTGCTGTGCCTCTAATTTCAGAGCTAGCTGGGAACAGGAATAAAGCTCCTTTAATAACTGCATGGCCGAAATGTCAGTGCTCCAGCATGTTTACAACCTCTCCTCAAATGATACCCATACCAAAGACGTCATGTTGGGCTGCCACAGAGCCTGGGGAGGGGCTGGGGGGGCATGGGAGGCTGCGGGGCTCCCCTGAGGCACCCGCAGGCCCCA